CACACTTCAAAAACTTCTACACTATTGTTTCTTGTAAAGCTTTCAATGCGTTACCTGCGTATATTCGTGCTATTAGAAATTTGCCTAAATTTTTATCAAAAGTAAAATTGTTTCTTTTAGAGCTTTCACACGACGATATCAAAAGTTTCCTGAGTTCTGCGACTTAAAAACTTTAAAATTTAAATATATGCAATTGTTGTTAAATATTATTAATATTATTTTTTCTATAAAATTATCTTAACGTTATCACTGTTGGTTATATATCTTCACCCCATACACACTCTCTTCATTTCCATAATTTTTATCTTTTGAGATGGCATCCAATACAAAAACTTAATGTTTTTAAGGAATGCCTTACTTTTTCTTACATTAGTTTAGCGATACTAAGTATTTTAAGTTACTAATGTACTTATATGTTGATTTTGTAAGAAGAAAGAATAAATATATTATTATTATTATTATTACTTGGAAAAAATCAGTACATTTTGGGGGTTTTCTGTTTTGAAAAACTACGCAGGACTGACCTTTAAATAACAGTACGGTCCTGCAAAAAACAGAACGGATGGTCACCGTAGCTATATATGATATCGACAAATTCATTAGGGAATGGTGTTAATAGCGCAAAACGCGCTAATTGTATCATAGTAAGTAAGTTACATTGAAGCACTATAACCAACCAACCAACCATGCACATACCCCCGGGTATGTACGTGTTACGTATAGGTTGAAAATTTTAAAATCACTTGCCACGCACTCAACAGCAACAAATAAAGTGTTTTTTTTGCAATTTATAGCTATCTAATATGTATTCAGATACCTGGAGGTTGAGTTCTTAAAAGTAATAGGAAAAATGTATATGTGTTTTTCAAAACCACAAAACATACCCGGGTATATCGTATTGACACAAAGGTTAAATTAAAATGGAAGGTTTGTGCAGTGGAGTAACTATACCATCTGAGGCCCGTGGAAAATTCTTGGGATGGGGCCTCCTAGTACACATCGTAACGTTTTAATTTAATTTTAATAAAACTCTTAAGTAGCTTTCTGTTCGACAAAAGAATCTATAAAACCATCAAAATTTAAAGATATAGCCATAGAATTTTCAATAGACAGAATAGTCAAGTTACGTAGCCTGTCTTGTTCCATAGAGTTTTTGAAATAGGTTTTCATTAATGCTAGCTTCGAAAATAATAGTTCAGCACTAGCTATAGCCACACAAATTGGAACAAATAAAATCAATGCAGTACATACTTCAGCAAAGCAGGATGACATAAAATAAAATATACAGCAGCGGTAAAAATAATAGCAGTAAAATTCAAAATAATATTATATGCAACTCCTGTATATTTATTTATTTTTAAAAATTTTTTATTTTTATCCTTCTATAAAAGAAACCAAAGAAATACAAATTTCACAAATTGCATAAAGTTCACAAACATTAATCAAACTTCCAAACAACTTTTCATGAAAATTTCAAACTTTTTATTCAAAATGTTTAGAAAATTTTAGAATGCCGTTTTGTGGCCCGTTATTACCGTTGATTTTGTGGAATTTTTTTTTGTCGAGGGTGTTCAGCGTTTTCTTCCATTTAGCGTATGAACAAAATCTATTTTAAAACGGAAGAAAATGTGCAACACCCTCGAAAAAAATTATGTAATAAAAAGTTTGAAATTTTGAGGAAAATGTTCTAAAGTTTGATTCGCCTTTAGCCATATATGTAATACTCCTATATTGGCAGTAAGAGCTAGTACCGTCCGAAAACACTACAGTACAGATATATCAATAAACACGTACGAAAGAAAAGGAACGCATACGTTTATAAATAAACATGTACACAACACATATACAAAACCGGCACTCAAGTACACAATACATTGACAAAAACGGTACTAGACTGTCTCGCTTTGATTTCGGAATGCTTACACATTGAGAAGTTAGCTTACTGCCAATATAGAAGTATTACATATATGCCTTTAGCTGACACACATTAATTGATTTTAAGGACTTAAAAAAACTATAACTTTAAGTACTTAGTTTTGTGAAAAATGTAAGGTTATTTCCGAGCTCGTGGTCTCCTGAGCCGGGCCTTCTCGGCCAGCCATACCGCCTTATAGTTACGCCTCTGAAGTCATGTGACTTAGCGTTCCTTAGTTACAGCTGTTTAAATTTTTAAGACCGTGGGATACTCCTCACGTCCTATTACAAACTTATGTATGGATACTTTACTTTGACCATCTTTCATAGGTCTGTAGTGATGCCAAATTTCAAAGGCATATGACTTACGGTTCCGTAGTTATTGCTGATTAAAAATATCACCTCTATGGGATGTGCCACGCCCCTTGTACAAACTCATTCATATATACCTCACTATAAGCGCCTACCATGGGTGTGTCTTCATATAAAATTTCAAAGTCATGTGACGTATGATTCCGAAGTTATAGCTGATTGAAAATTGCACGCCTGTAGGGGCGTGGCGCACCCTTCTACAAAATTATATCTACTTTACTATAGCATTGTCATTAGCTTTTGTTTACAAAAACGGACCTGCCTAATGTGCCAAATAAATGCACCTATCGTGCGCAACAACAATACGCCGGGCCAAACTAAATAAACAAATATACGCACGAAAGGGATGGAAACAAAACAAAACCTTACCAAACCATTAGGTTTCGAACCCATTCTCACTATCGCTAGCTACCGAGGATATCTTTAACCCTTCTGTACGTCTCGGCTCAGGGTGCAGGACGCTAAAAAGGAGGAAGCCTGCCGACAATAATAACGCCTGAACACAGACTAACAAAAAGAAAACGATGCTTATCGGCGGTCGGTGGGCGTTCCGATTGCAGGGGTGCTCCTTGGGAATATGGTTCCCAAATCCGGTGCCGACCTCACTACGCCTCGACTGGCGCCGCTTCTTGAAAATGTTTCTCTTGCACTACTGCAACCTAAGTGCCTCGCCTGGCAATTAATAGATTTTTACACTCGCGCTCGCAATAAAGATGTTGCCTTTCTCAAAGATCGCTTAGAACTGCCACGACCCGCAGTTGCGAGCCAGGCCACAACCTACGCACCAGTACGCAAACCGTTGAAGTGTCACCGCCGGTATTATTGGTGCCCGATCAATTGGCGCCGGCTCGATTATTCTAGAAGCTAATTGGGTGCTTTAACGGTAGCTACTACGGCGCACACAAACAACACCATGGACTTGGCAATGCCATCATACGGTGGACAACAAAAGTGGGTGCATCAGCGTACAGTAAAAACTCGGAATGCTTAAAACAGGCTACAACGACATTAATAAACAGAAGAAACAGTATTGCACCTAGGATGCTACCCTAGGTACCCCAGAAGTGGCCTCAAAGGCACATGATCTCTTATTCTCGATTTCAGCAAAAGAAAATTTATTGGATAGGTATGATCTAACTCATTTGAGAAGTCGGTGTAGACTACGTCTATTTGACGTCCCTTCTTAAACGATAAGATGTTAAACTGAGAAAAAAGCTATATTTGTGACAGTTAAGCGACCGCAAACAAAACCATGCTGGCACGGATCAATGCATCCTTTGATAGCAAAAAACAGTTGTTATTTGACCACTTTCTCGAAAAGTTTGGATATAGGTCTGTAGTTTGTAACATAATTTTCGGGACCAGATTTAAAGATTGTGGAGATCGAGCCATTTTTTAACGATTAATAAAAACACCCGAGGACAGCGAAAGATTAAAAATACATTTTAGGGGTACGTAAAGAGACGAACTGAAAAATTCATGGATATGAAAAATATAAGCTACATACATTTATTGCTTTTATACATTTTTGCCATAATTTTTCAAGTTTGTTGCTCTTTTTTTACTGAATTAAAAGATATTAGGTTTTTTATTCCAAAAACAAATTGTATGTTGTGATTCGATGTTATAGAAATATCGCGATTTTTGTTCACACAAATTTTGCCACTGTAACTATACAAATAATTTTATATTGTTTTTGTTTATATAATTATTTGTAGGCCGTTGTTACTAGCTTCTTAATTTAAAATTTATCCGTATCTTTTATTATTTTTTGCAGGTTCTTCAAACTTTAAATAAATATTCTGGCCTTGATGATGAAGTTTCGGATTAGGAGATATATTTCTAAAATGAAATAAAAAATGTCTTGTGTCTAATAATTTAAAGTAATAAAAGGCATTTATGTATAAAATTTTTAACTTTTNACGTCAGACGGTTTGTTTACATGTCATTGGTACTACACTGATTTGGCTGAAATATCACTAAATAATTATTAAAATCTATACATATTCAAATATTTCGTTGTTTACTTCCATTTTTTAACAAATATAAGGTTCTTTGCTTTCACCGTTTTCTGTTTTTGATTGCACATGTAAATCAGCTGATCGTTTGACACTTTTCATGAACTTACAGGAAAAAAACTCCGGACTAAATCCTGTAACTTCTGACTAGGAACAGTCGCTCAATTACTCTCTCAAATGTGTTCCCACTTACAGGTTTTATGTCAATAGGAACGACTTCCTGTAAGTTCTGACTAAATCATGTAAACCGGACTGCTATTGGAACAGACTATTTGCTAAATTCTGCTTTGCACTTGTTTAATACATACTCGTACATACATAAATATTTACTTCAATCAGTTGCTCCGCCGGCGGTAAATACTGTATATACATACCCGTGCTTACATACATACATACTGTTATACTGTTCCGCCTAACATTTTGTTGGTATAGCATCAACGGTTAGCCCAACTTGTTTTAATTTGAAAAAATACCCAGTAAGAAATCGGAGCAGTGACCCAATAGGAAAAAATTGCAAACACTCTTCAAGCAATTTTCCAATACAATAGGTATTTACCCTTGGTGCAGAAACTGCAAAAAACAAGATAAAACAAGTTACTTTTGCTTAAATTATTAACCCTCAACCCAAAAAGAGGCAAAAGAAACCCTAATTAATTGCTCACAAAATTTTGCGACTTTTTAAGAAACCGAAAATTTTGTTTCACTTACCCTCTAAATATTAAGCAGACTCACTTATTTCAACTAATTTATTAGTAAATCTCACCTTTTTTAATTAAAATGGAGGAACTTAATATAACAGTTTCTGATTTGATCGAATTCGTGGATGATCATTTCAAGTCCCCAGCGGAAGATGAGTCAGTTCATACCTTAGAAATCAAAAGAGTTGAACTCGATTCCCTCTACAGCAAAACGAAGAAAGCGTATGATGCTTTTTGTAGAACCCCCAATAATGCCGATGGAACCGTTGATTTCAACAAAGTAAAAGAAAAATACAAAGAATGCTACCAAATGTACTTGAATTGTCTAGCTTCAATTAACAGGGATGTAGACACTCTGAAGACCCCGAACCCCAACAAACCAATTAAGGAGAGACGTTCAGAGGCCCCAATGATGGATATTGCACCCATGGTTCATCTACCCCGATGCGTCACGGAAGTCTTTCATGGAGATTATGTTACATGGCCTACCTTTAGAGACATTTTCACAGCGCTTTACATCCATAACCCAAGGATAAGCAATGTGAAAAAGCTCTTCCGCTTAAACCAAAATACCCAAGGCGAAGCAAGCGAGGTAATCAGGAACGCACCCTACACGAACGACGGTTTCATATTGGCATGGAAAAGTTTGGTCGATCAATACGAAAATAAACGGATGCGGGTGAATACCCAATTAAAGACCCTTTTTAATTTGCCATAATTGTCCCAAGAAACAGGCCACTCTGTTAAGACCCTACAAAGAACTGTTAACAATTCTTTGACAAATATAACCAACTTCGGCATAGATACAACTGGAACTGGGAGCCGATCTTAATATACCTATGTAGTTCAAAACTACCAAAGGAAACTTTAGAAGCATTTGAATATACCCTAGAAGATAAATAAATACAAAGCCTTAGAATATGTAGGGAATTTCAAATCATCGATTTCAAGACCACACCAAACGCACCCAGGTTCAGTCAAGAAAAGTGATGAAAAGCGATATAACACTTCATGCTAACGTTTCTGAAAATCAGACACCCGGACCCTCAATATCTCAAAATAATTCAGGCCCTGCTCCCTCAAAAAAGCAATTCGAGATAGAAAGCTGCAAAATATGCAAAAAACAATATTCTATTCTTGAATGCCCTAAATTCCTCGCAATGAATGTAGAAACCCGTATATCCACTATCAAAAAATATGGATATTGCTACAAGTGCTTTTCAATTTCGCATAGCTTAAAGTAGGGATGCCCAAATCAGCACATATGTGTCGCGGGCGACTGCGCGTGCAAAGCTTTGCACAGCGGTGCTGGGCAAGCGCGGAAGCAAAAAGTTATCGGAAGGGGAAACCGAAGTCAACAGAATAGTGAGATTGTATGTGTGACAGTGATGAAAAATGAGTGTGCATTGTGCCATTTTCGGCCCTTTCGGAAGCAGCCGGCACCTTCAGCACAATCGATTGATTTTCGGCACTATTTTTGCGCAACTCAATGCAACTAATAAATATTTCTTTCGGATCCGCAATTAAAAATATTTTTTTACATTTAATCGTATGTGCTTAAACTGATAAATGATATAAACATAGAAACGCAAGCAGAAGAATCTCGCTTCCACATTCTGCATATGCGCTTAACATTTTTGTGTAAACAAATTTGAAGGTGTTGCCCTTTTTCTTCCATACCGAAATTTTTGTACATCCAATTTGTATAAAGGAAATGCAAAAAAATATTAAAAATCAACATGAATTCTTAGCTGCACTTTCACTTTATAATACTAAAATTGAATCGACTATAAAACTGCATACCAACAGTTGGTGTCGGACACTCATGCGGTGAGGATGTGAGGTGTGTCAATTACTTCTATTTCTGCAGGATCGCCATTGGGTAAAATGCATTTCCAAAGATTTTTTCAAAATAAATAGCGATGAGGGATATTTCAACCGCCGGTGATAAGAAATCGCAATCACCATAACGCACATCACTAATATTACTGTTTACATTACATTCAAAATTAGAATTCATAATTTCGTTTTGTAGCAAATATGAAATATAGGTATATCCATTTACTTAAATGTAAACGGATTAAGAATCAAAGTGCTAGAAGAGATTTGAGCGTTTGGTACAAAAAGTATTTTTGATGTTGAAATTGTTCTTAAAATCGGCAAATTGTACTTTTGTACATTTTAAAATTAAATGTACTGAAAAAAGTAAAATTGTACTTAAAATATCAACACTGTTTCACTGGCGTGACAAAGTACTTGCTGCAGCGATGCCAGATTTGAGCGTACCCAATTTTTTACCGATAATAACTCATGCGAGGGATTTGGGTATTGGGCATTTTACAAGCCTATTAGGTAGTATACATATCTGTGTTCGTATAGAATAGTAGCTTATGTCGGAAGACTGGCTTTAGTATAATGAACCATTCGCAGCATACGATTGCGAAAGACTCACTGGCGCCGAGTCGTTGAAGAACTCTTGGAAAATAAACGTAAAAGACGGTAATGTTAATGGCGATGCTAGCAAGTCAATATTCGTATAAAGTTTCATAAAAAAATTCCTTGTGGTTTAAAGAATATAGGAAATGGTACATTTTACTAAAGCCAGCCTCCCGACATAAGCTACTACTTCATACGAACACAAATAAATTCGTCAACAAATAATGTTGATTATTTTAATTAAGTCCTAAGATAAGTTTGTGAATCTTATCAGTGTCCTATGTAAGAACCAAAAATTTATACCCTCGCCAATTAGAACTTTTGCTTTAAAAGAAAAATATACATAGCGCATTTACTAAATACTTGGTCTGGCATCACTGTTTGAGCATTGATGTGCTCAGCTCACTGTTGCCAAGGCCGTGTATTTTGCACTAAATTTAGTGCTTTTGGGAAACCAAAAAGCCAAAATAATTGGAATTCAATGCTTGGTGCGGTATTTAGTGATGCTTTTTTAATTTAAGCGCACCGAATCCATAGGTACATATGTATGTATGTATCACAGCGCACGGCAGTGCGCGCGAGTGACGAAAGCAGCCACAGTAGCATGCTGAAATGACTCGCTTATATATACACGAGATTTGGAAGTTTTTATCCCGACATCCAATCGACATGTTTGAGATATCGTTGGAAAGGTCTTGCAGATTGTGTCCAGAAAATCTATTCAAGCTTCATAAACGATTAACCGGATCCTTAAAAATTAGGCTAAAGTGTTTTTTGCCTTTGCCGGTTTAAGGGGGCATGTTGGTACACATAACATATTTAGTGTTATTTTATAGGCCAATACCTTTCAAACGGCTACTAGTTGGAAAGATATAGAGGTAAACGTGTTTTGGTTCGTGTCTCCACTACGAGATGCTTTGGTACGTATGTGGCATCTGTACCTACCATCATTTAATTTTTTTCAAACTTTCAGGAATTAAAGTACAAAAAAAAACTAAGAAGGTTTTGATTCGTATGCCTTTGTGGGCGTGGCTGCTGCCTGAAATTCGAAAAAAGGCGTGAAAGTAATACGACTTGCCTTTTTTCCGTTTTGGATTTTTTATGAATTTAAAAAATAAAAAAATTTAATATTTTAGGCAAAAAATATTTTTTTTCTTCATACATTTATTTTTACCGGCAAAACTGTTGAGTGTATAGAAAAACGTTATATTAACAGATTAAAGCAATTGTAATTTTTAATTTTTTTAAATTTGTTTGAGCAAAATCGGACTAGTGGTTCTAGAGTTATGTCAAAAAAAATACCACCAAAGGTGACAATTTCCCCTATATGATAGTTACTAACTTCAAATCGATATATCTCGATTCCTAGACGTGACCCAGCGAAACGCCGGGACAGGTATAACTTCTTTTTTACCGATATAACTTTCCCCGGTAGTTTGAACCCTTGCCGATCACTGACCCCTACCATTTGTCTCACAGTGATATAGGAAATGGTACATTTTACTAAAGCCAGCCTCCCGACATAAGCTACTATTTTATACGAACAAATTCGTCTACAAATAATAAGAACCAAAAATCAATCCCCTCGCCAATTAGAACTTTTGCTTTAAAAGAAAAATGTACATAGCGCATTTACTCAATACTTGGTCTGGCATCCCTGTTTGAGCATTGATGTGCTCAGCTCACTGTTGCCAAGGTCGTGCGTTTTGCAATAAATTTAGTGCTTTTGGGAAACCAAAAAGCCAAAATAATTGG